CTCAGGGCCACATGAGCAGCTTTCTTTGGCACAGAGCATCAGCGATTAGCACTACCACCTCAGTATAAAGGACTGTTTCTGTGTCTGTGACACACACAACAAATGCGAAAGACAGAATCCATTGTACCTGTAGCTATACGTGTTATAAAGTAGATAGAAAGTCTTATCACCTTCACTACTCAGCTCCACAAGCGTCTGTAATTCAGTGAGTTTTCTCTTGCTGTGTGTTTTGCCTTTGGCACGCTGGCAAAACATCATCTGACCTTTTGTTGAGTGCTACAGTAGTGGGTATTTAGTTTGGACAGAAAACCATTTGTGAAAAAACTCAGTTAGATAAATGTTCCTCAACATTAAAGCATCGGACTCTGGATAATCCCACACACTTATAGGTTTAGGGTTAAAGCTACCAGTTCTCCTCTGCGCCTCTGATAAATCACTTTTTTTGCAAAAAGGTGGGAACATGCTTATATAGCCAAACATTCATTTGGTTTGATTCGAGTCGTTTGTGTTGCTGCTTTAATTGCACTTATACTAAATCAGACTGTTAGTATAGTGCAGTGACCATCAACTGGCGGCCTGCGGGCCACATCAGGCCCGCCAGACATTCTCATCCGGCCCGCACGAGAACAAAAAAAGTGAGAAAGTTGCATGCTTTGTGATATGATGACGCCTGACAACAGCGACCGTTTCATTGCAGATAAGGCAAACAGGTGAAGCCTTATTGAGCGATGGCATGATGAATGCGTATTTATCCGTCCATTCCTCATTAAAACTGCGGTTTCAACTTTACGCTTGAGGCTCTTTGACAGTGAAATGTTTGCGTGCCTGGCAAACAATTTTCTTATATCCTGCAACCGTTTCCCACCAATCAGGACACGGTATTAATAAAAAAGTTGATTCCTTTCCTGCCAATCAGGACTGCTTTCAGTTTTATTACCCCGGATACAGGCTTATTAAAAAAAAGATTATTTTTTCAATAAAGTGAACATATTAATCAATTAATCAATAATTTATTATGATGTATACATAAATATATATAAAAATCTCTGGCTAGAAAGGTGTTGCTTGATGCTGAGCTAAGATACTGCATTGTTGGGATTTTGCAGGTGTTTACATCTGCTTGGACCCAGAGAAAGGTTGTTCAATAAGTTCTACCTTTAGCCAAGACATCCATGTGGAAAAAGCCACTCAAAAGCAAGAACATATTTTAGACTCTCTAGTTTTCAGTTTAAGAGATTTTTCGTTTAACCAAAAGTGCTCCTATAAATTCAAAATAGATTTCCATAATCTGTCAGACTTGCAAGACAGATTTAATTAAGCATAGTGAAATTCAATGATGCAGAGGTTAAGATAACTCAACCTTTAATCTCTGGGTCATGCCCCCAAATACTGGATCCTACAATTCTCTTAGTGCAAGTCAAAGCTGCTAACTCTAATGACATTGTGTTGAAAATGTCAACCAAAGACACAAAAGACATTGAACTGGTTTTTTTTCTCAGGTTGAGTACTGAAGTTGTCACTCGTGAAGGGCCCACTTTAAGAATCAAACAAGAGCTACTTGTCACCTTTCTTTCAGGTGGTTCAACAACCAAGATGATTGTCTTTTGAGCTCCGACTGCCAAAAATGGACTAACCCCTTGACACTCAGAAATAAGTAGCTCCCATCCACAGTAGTGGTATATTACCTTTCTGTGGGACAGACCAGAGTCCCTGTGCAGCTCTTTTGCCCTTTACACTGGCAGTTGCTTCAGACCCTGGTCCCTTCAGTAGAGGAGGAGACCCTCAGTCATAGCTTTCGTTTTGATTTAATCTTGCCTTTGATACACTTATGAATGCAGCCTTTCCCTGACCCTATTCATAGTGGCTTTTTTAATGGTTTTGACCGTGTCTTGAGTCTCTGGGAGTAGTGGGCTCAACTAGAGGCTCTTGAGTGAACCACCTGTCGTCTCCCCTTCATCACTCCCACAAGATTCACCAGGTTCCAACCTTTTCTCTCTCCTCCCCTACCTCTCAACCTCTACTTCTCCTTCTCACCCTCTATCTACTGTACCGTGGCCACTCTTTCAACCTCTATCTTCCCTCCACTGATGAGAGTTATTATCCTCTTACACCGTCCAGCCCCTGCCGGCTCGCTCCCTGACTTCCTCTTGTACTTTTGCTTTTTAGTGGTCTTTATAGACACTCCACCTCTATTCTCATCCCTCCATTTTTGCTTTTTTTCGGCTTTGCAATTTCCTCCTCTGCTTCCTATCTTTTCATCTGTGTGTCTATCAGCCTGTTACTGCTCTATCCGTCTATCCATCTTCCTCTTCCTCCCTCCATCTTCCCTTTGAATTGGGAGGCAGATGTTGACTCTGGCTGACTAATGTTTCGGCAGCAGAAAGACCTCACCGGTGATCGCATGTCACGTGAGCAAAATGGCCAACAGTATGCGCGCCTGCCACCAGTTAAATGTTCAGCTCCAGCGATTTTGGGTGAAAAAGCAATTAGGATTTGGAATTAGTGTTCAAATTAAAGAGAAATTAAACAGGCTCCGAGATTAACCCTTTCAGGCATGGCCTCCCCTCTTTCCAAAAGCACACAATCATCATATCACTGAATCTTCCTCTCTGGAATGAAAGGTGGCAGCGCTGACATGTGATCCAGCACGTCCTCTCCCCCCTACGGGACTGGACGGGTTGATTATATATTGACGCTGTCCCCGGTGGAATAGCCATAATTGTTATTTTTTCTTCCTGTCGTTCTCTTCTCTTTTCCTTTCTGGACAAAGTGACAAATCCTGCTTTGAAACTTAATGACGTTTGAAATGGAATTTGAGGCTACAATTATCCTGTCCATACAGGCTGTCACAGGAATGATGGTGCCATCTAGACACAATTATGGGAATAGAGACACCTGGAACTGCTCTGACCCACGAGGGAACGCCACATCTGAGTCCAGCAGCTCTCCTGCTTTAGCTGAGACTTTTACATTTATGAAGCACACTTGTTTTTGCTGTACACATACAAGCTGTAATGTTTGAGGAAAATGTGTGATTGCTTTTGAAGGGATAATTGAACATTGTTGGCTTTGTGCCTGCTCAGCATGGCACCCACCACCCACTGTCGTGCCTACAGAGGTAACCACAGTGCTCATGCATTAGCTGCTGAGATGCTTTTTGGTGCCCTTTAACAGAAAACCATCCAGAAATGTATTAAATTGTAGGTGTTATAATTACCACTCTCTCCCTTTCTCTGTTTCCCCGTAGGCTTTTTATACTTCAGCTCCTATGTTCCCGACTGCTGTAGTTATTCTCTACTTGTATAGCTTCTCATTCTAGCATGTTAGTGCTCTAGCCGTCTCTTCCCCTGCAAGCTGACAGTATTTTCGGTCTGCAGCAGCAGCCTGTAAATGGCTACCTGATGGAAAGTGACATTTTCACAGAACCCTGCGAGGGATGCGAGGTGATCTCTCCTGTTCCTCACACAAAGTGCTCCTAATTGCCCGTCGAATTTGTGAGCCCAGCTGACAAACTCGTGCAAATCAATAATTCTGCTCGGGAAGATGCGGTGACACAGAGCCTCTCACCCCAATACGTGCCGTGAAGACTCACACACGCACCCGCATACAGATACACACAGGCACCTGCAAGTAAACACACACATATATACACTCCTTGCACACGCACACGCACACACACACACACAGCCTCTGCTCGCCGTCGTTGTGCTGTCTGCCCTCGATGGCAGTGTTTATCCGTGATTCTAAGACAAATAGGTAGAGAGCATCGGAGCATTAAGGGCAGCCACGGTGAAGGCTGAAATAATGGATGGTGGAAATGGCAAAAGAACCAGCGCTGCTCATTACTAAATGGACTCTGCAGAGGTAGAAACTTTGCTGCACTAAGTATACAGATGGCAGCAAAGCTTAAAATAGGGGCTTATTTAACAGGTTTTGTTTGTGTTTTTGTTCTCTGCTCTGTAATAGCCCTGACTCTAAAAGTTGCTCGCCGAAGAAGAGAGAATGTCATAGCAATTTGCAAAGTCTGATTGACTTTCGAGTTTATAAATGGGTTTGTTGTCCTTCTAAGTTTCCTTAGAGCTCTTATACTTCTCTTTGATATTTCCCACAAATTCATTACTGGTATCGGAAGACATTTTGCCATATTTATTTTTCTAAATCTATGTGTGCAAAGGACCTTGAAAAGCACATCTTTGTATTTTAATGAATGCCTCCCACTGGTTTTCCTGTCTTGTTTTGTTCCTGGTTTGACCTCCTTTAGTGCAGTGATGTACGTCCTCCAGATAATTCTAACAAACTAACTTTCTCTCCGCAGGCTCGTCTGTGATGCAGGCGACAGCCACGGATTCGGACGACTCGACCACCGCTAACGGCATGGTGCGCTACCGCATCCTCTCGCAGACCCCCCACAGCCCCATCCCCAACATGTTCACCATCAACAGTGAGACTGGAGACATAGTAACCGTGGCAGCCGGCCTGGACAGAGAGGTCAGTGTCAGCTGTGTGCATCGTGTCCCTGTGACTCCCACCATTTGATCATCTTCTGTTCACCCAGCCATAAGAGACTGTTGAGTGACTCAGCGGTGCGGTTTATACATCCAGGGGTTAAACCCTCCAGCGCAAATTGAAGCTTCTGGTACTCACGCAGCAAATGTCACTACAATTAAATGTACTGCCTATTCGTCTTATGGGATGTAATGCCATAGAGGCAGGAAATAAGGAGAGAGACAAATAAGTAGCCTATGCGATACAGCTGCTGTTTTTTTTTTTGTACCTTTGAACAGAGTGAGGCTAGCTGTTTCCAAGCCATTACATGAAGGCAGGGACACGGACTCTGACCCCATGGGAGCTGTGGGTAGGACACATGGGCGATGTTACCGGAGCTGCAGTGTTGGAGGGTTATAGCCGATAGTGCTAGAAATAGAGAGATGCTGCCTGTCAGGTGCAGCTCTTAGCCTGACAGAAATGTTTTGGACAAACAATAGACTAAAGATTTGTTGCATAGGCTATTCATATCTCATTTTAGGGAGTTTATGAAAAGCACTCTCCTCACTTACATCCCTAAGTCTACTAACCTTTACTTTTTTTACAAAACATGTGACCCAAGGCCAACTGCAGACACCTCAGTTAAAATCCTAAATATATTGTACCTTCGGGTGCAGACCACAATTTGTGTTTTATAAGGGAGGCGTGTGGTGCAGTGGGTTGGTGTTCGGATCAGGGGGTCACAGGTTCAAACCCCACTGCAGTCAGCATGTCTCCTGTGGGGATTGCCCACAGTATTGAGTATGTAAGTCGCTTTGGATAAAAGCGTCTAACAAGTGACATGTAATGTGAAAATATATGATGCTGCGACCTCTCGTTCATTTCAGCCTCCTAGATACATTTATCTTGGTTACAGTTTTTATAATAAAAGGATAAAGAGAATGAGCATATAATAATGAGCAAATGTCTAACTAGCCACCAGAATACCTACAGTCATGCTGTGTATGACCTATTGTGCTAACCCACAGCTCTGAGTATGTTTCCCAGCAGCTTGTGTCTCCATAAACAGGGAAACCTCAAATCAGTTAGGCGTGTGGGGTCGGCTTTCAAAGTCTTAGTTGGAATGCCTTTATCGGGTCTGTTCATGTTGGCCATCATTTCACCAAAAAATATCTAATTGTGAGTAAAAAAATATCTAAATCAACTTAATTTTACAAAGTATTTGTCAAATCCTCACAGAAAATCTGATAAATAATGTTATTTTTTACCGGTATTCATTAGCTTGCTATGCCTGGATGCAAAGATCTATAACATAGTAACCTGCTATTTCCAGAGTTTCCTGCCTCACAAATACTGATAACTTTTAGCAGCATCCGGCCTTCAGAGAAATATAAACCAAACCAGAATACACAGAATCGCAAAACAAATTCATACTTTCCATTTGATTGTTCTCGTGTTGTGTACAAATGACAGGATTATTTATTATGTGTATTTCTCCATGTGTAAAGCAGGGCAGATATAATGGCCTCACGAATCCTGCACCTCTCTGCTGACGAGGTTGCGGGAGCTTTCTCTTCATTGCCATCTTTTGTCTTGTCTCATCCACTGATGATGTGTTTGCCAACCCACCACCACAACACACACCGTCCCTGCTCCATCTTCCATCTCACTCCACTAATGAGGAAGGTCACGCAGTGTCGACAATTGTTTATCCCAAGATGCGTCAGGTGCCTTTTGGATTTAGTGTTTCATGAGCTGATGTCATCCTGCAGAAGTGCGGATTCAAAAAAAAAAATAGAGAGAGATAGAGAGAGACTAGAGCTCTATATAGCTCTATCTCTCTCTCTCTCTCTCCTAGCTATATCTCTCTATCTATATCTATGCTACTCTCGCGCTCGTTCCTCTCGCTCATAGCTAGATATCTCTCTTCTTCTTTCTCTCTCTCTCTCTCTCCTCTCTCTCTCTCTTCTCTCTCACTCATTCAATATGCCGCCATTATGAAGATAATCTCATCCTCGTAATTTAGGATGGCTGGTTTTACTACCGACATTAAAGGTATCGTGAGTGTGTCTCATAATTTTATATTCTGAGAATTCCCGCTGGTCCATCTCGACACTAAACCCTGCCAGGCAACACTTTGTAAAATAAAAACAGGATTTTTCACAGTAGGGCGAGCGTATTCGAAGAATAATTACTTTAGAAATCTCAAGAACAAAACCAGGTTTTGATTACAAGAAGAATACGCTCCATCAATGCTCGTTCTTCTTCCAATTTTTTTTTTTTTACTGAGCTGGCAGGTTTGCGTTGTACATTTGTGGGACAATATGAATGAGTCTAGTGAATGCTCGCCAGCTCTGTGTCCCTGTTTCCAGCTTTGGCCCAGGCGGCAGCAGTAGCAGCTGATGTGCGTGAGAGAAAGCTCATTAATCTGGACACATCAAGCCAAGCTCAGTCCCACCTGCCTCTGATCCTCCCACTAAAACTGGGACACACCTGGGAGTTCACCCACCTGCTCTCAAGGTCATCAACACAAACACACAAACGCGCTCAGACACATGGGCACGTGTTCGCTCACACACACTCCCATGATGCTCTGTTTGTAGTGTAGACGCAGTAAGGCCCACACACAGTCAGGAGTAGCAGATATGACGAAGTTGAATGCAACGTGAGTGGAGTGCCCAAGCTGCCACTCATTAATAAGTATACTCACTTTATGGACACTGAACACCTTCGCAGCACATACTCACCCTCGTTCACCACGCCGGTGTCTAATTAGAATATGCATGTGCTAATTAAGGGGTGAGGCAGGTTCTCCCATGTTGAGGAGACCAAGGGGTACACGGAGGTTAGTCAGGAATGACTTACCTCTGACACCGCTGAATACCAATTATTTTCCCTAGCTCACCGCCCGCAACCCCTCTCCTCCCCTGACCCCCCCTGACCTCCCAGGCTTGCCTGCGCTCCAGCCCACCGGCTAACAAGCTGTGCTACAGCAAACACGTGTGTTTGAATCCATACAACCTAAATAAGATTTAAAACGGCTGTTTTTATATGGGTGTGGATTTCTGTTCTGTATTTGCGATGGACTACATTGAAAAAGGTTGAAGGGACGTCATTTAAATTGCAGGCGGTGTTGGTGTAAATGGAAACCCAATGAGGCAAAAATAATTCTAGTGATATGACTCTCTAGTGATACATTGCCTTAGTCTGATCTAAAAAAAATCTCTATTCTTTGTAATACTAAACACAAAGTACATTTCATGTGTGTTACTAAGAAAAAATGGATGCTTTTTGAGTGTGGCCAAAGTTGAGAAACTAATACAGAAAAAAACTTTTTCCAACTTCGCATTTATAAACTAGAAATTGATCCTACAAATACTATTCCCTTCATCTTTCTCAAAGATACAACAAAATAACTATGAAACAAAGAGAGTAAATCCTGACTTTATGACATTAAGTCATAAAGTTATAAGCACTAGTGAAAACTATTGAGATCAGACCTAGAGAAAGGACCAGAAATGCCTCTCTTTTCTTTATGGCTTCTTTAGTTTTAGGTTAGGGTTTACACGGTGTTGTGTATATTTCTTTGCACATGCGCTGTTCTGAAAATAGACTCGTCTGTCAGTCTTCTATGGATGGAAGAAATACATTTCTAATGAAGTACGGCTCTGGTGCAGCAGCAGGTAGCCGAGCGGGAGATGTCAGGTTGCCACAGCTGGCGTGGATGTTCTCCCTTTGTGCCCTCCCTCCATGGCTCTGATTCCACTGGCAGGCAGAGCTGTTGTCTTTCATCACCCCAGCCTGTCTCAATCTCCCATGAGCCCTGGATGGGATCAGTCTGGCGCGGCATGGTGTGGAATGGCCCAGCGCCAGGCCGTCCACAGGGCGTGTGCCAGCTCTGCATTGGCCTGTCTCTCTGACGATTAGGACATCGCCTGGACTGCCTCAAGGACATGAGTGCCCACAGCCTGGCTCTATTAGCCCGACTGGGGAGACGGGCTGAGAGCAGGCTTCCTAAATGGGTCTCAGGCTTTATTGTTTCAGAGACACTGAGTTATGTTAACTCCCTGCTATAGCACCAAAGCTCCAGGAGCCAGAAAGCAGAGCCATGGAGGATTGTTAATGATGCATGTAGGTGAATGTTGACTGCTATCCAGTCCTCCTTATTATGTGCACCTAGCCAGTATTGGATGGGGTCTTCAGAAACACCTGAATTGTTCCATTCTAGTACAAACCATGTTTTCAGCACTCTCTTTTAGACGATGCTGAGGTGCTTTGGCCTCAGAAAAATAACACTTTTATACTATGCTCTTCCTATCGTTTCCCATGGACAATCCCTTGATGACTTTTTGACACCTGCCTACTTTTTAAAGAGTTTAATCTCAACTGTTTGCAATATAGTTCATCAACTATGTCCACAAATGTTGGAGCCTGTAAAGACTGTGGGTGAAAAGAAATATAACTACCTCACCTTGATCTGCAAAAGCATGCTGTGTACCAATTACACCAGTGTCACCATATCTGAAAGCTATAGCAAGTTTTTCTTTACAGATCAGTAATATCCTGCAAATGGTTGTATACCTATCAGACTATGCTGCAGCAACTGCTGGAACACGTCTGGAGATTTCTACCATTCACAATAAAACGATCATCTGAATCAGAATTGGGTTTCTTGACTTTCTCTTACAAAGAATGTTGCTTTAGCATTTTGGTGCATAGCGAGAAACCTAAGAAATTGGGTGCAGACATTCAAATCAAGTTTTATTTATATAGCACATTTATAAACGATTTTTGGTCGAGCCAAAGTGCTGTACATATAATAAAAATAGCCTACAGTAGAGACACTTTACAGCAAATACAACAGCACAGATTGTTCAGAATATCAGTATGAGAAAAACAACACCCTCTATCCTTAGACCCTCACATCGTACAAGGAAAAACATCCAGAGAAAACCCACAGTTTAAAGGGAACATGGGAGAAAACCTCAGGGAGAGCAACAGAAGAGGGATCCCTCTCCCAGGACGGACAGACGTGCAATAGATGCCGTGTGTAAATCGAAGAGATCATACATTTTACAGCATATAGACCGAATGTTAGGAAATGCATGTGTCTGTAATAAGAAGATGAATCCACGAGGATGTCATGTAGGATAACTGTTTCTATCCCCCGACTTCTTATCTAGCATTTTGATTAGCTCTTAAAACATTCTTAATATTTAGTTACATGCAAAACGAATGCCTAATGCTAAAATAAGCTTGTGAACATGGTAAACATTAAACCTTAACATCAGCATGTTAGCATGCCGTTCTAAACATTTAGTCCAGAGCACCGCAGGGCTTATCTAAGATCTCCCAGAACCACTAGCACATCTTCAGAAAGCTTATCTTTCCACATTACTCATATCAGGAGATGTACAGATGATTGCTGCTCTTCTTCTTTTGCTCTAAGATGTCATTTGACTAACAGTGCAATCTTGCTTGCATAGTTTGCTCCTCACTGTCATTTCCCTACTTTAAGTATAGCCATCAGGTCCGGCAACAGCATGCAAATATTGTATCGGGAGGCTCGATTGGACGATTAACTGAACGTTTTGCCCAGTCTGCGCCTTTGATTCTAGTCGCTTTATTAATATGTGACTCACAGCCTTTATTAGACCAATGGGACTGACTCTGTTGTAAATGTGGAGGCGTATCTAATTAACTATATTCTATCTGGAATTGGTATCTCATATTTACACTACCTACATATCTGAGTGAATGAGATTCGGAGAACAGCTTCTAGGGAACAGTGAGTTTTGAACCAGCGTGAAGCTGTTTGTGTGAGAGACATCCCAGAGAGAGAGACAAAACAGACTTCCTGCATATTGTTGGTACTTACTGGAGAAACATAGGAAATAACTTTTTTGCCAATTGTGTGTCATTGGACTGAAATAATTTCAACTAGATTGGAATCAAAGGAAATGGAGATGAATAGCATCAAATGAAATCGAGTAAGTGAAGTGAAACTAGTGGGGGACTTCACTTACTCACTGAGGTAGAGAGAGTTGAGGTAGAGAGAGTTGAGTCAGGAAAAGCAGGGGAGCTGGTCTCTACAGTTTTAGCTTCCACTGCTGGGCCGTTTGAGGCAGATTGTAAGTGACAAGCTAATGACTGTGGCCACTAGGAGCCTGGCAGGCCAGCACTCAAACGAAGTCTCTCACTCGCCATTCCTCTGTTCTTTCAACCATTTTTGAGTGGTCCTTTAACCGAAAATGCACGCTGAGCTCAGATGTCATTAATTCACCACTGCACGCATTTTACCCGCAATCCGCTCCTTTCCATTTCCTTGTTAAACATCTCCGTAAATGTTCAGACCATTATTGCCTGGACTTTGTACTTTGTTCTCTGACAGTCTGACAGGAGTCCATTTACTTACGAACCACGAGCAGCCAGTTCTTTCCTCCCGCCCTAACTGCTGCTCAGCCTGAGTTGTTGAGAAGCTAACCTTGATAGCCTGAAGCCAGGTTCCTATTACTTTCTCCAGTCTCACGGATGGTAAAGACCTCATTTGGTCCCCGAGAGAAAAAGTGATTGTGTTGGTGGAGTTGCCGGTGGTACGGCTGTTTCTGTGGCCTATGATCACGTATAGCTTCCCGCAGATGAAGTCTGTGAGACTCTCGGCCTGTGTGGGGCCAAGAGTGGGCTGTTGCTGCTGGTCGTGTTACAAGGGGCTACATTTCCTGCCAGCGCTGGACTCTAATCTAACAGAGAGATTTTCTGTTCAGCACTTCTGTAGGAGTCATTAGAGAGCCTTTTACTGGCTTGTTCGGGCAGTCACTTTTGGACAGCAGAGTGCGCTTGGCTCTGTGTGTGTTCGATGTACGCACATCCAGTGAAAGAGTGTCCCACCTGTTCTCACTCACTAGAGCGATACTGTGTGTGTGTGTGTGTGTGTGTGTGTGTGTGTGTGTGTGTGTGTGTGTGTGTGTGTGTGTGTGTGTGTGTGTGTGTGTGTGTGTGTGTGTGTGTGTGTGTGTGTGTGTGTGTGTGTGGTGTGTGTGTGTGTGTGTGTGTTAGAAGGGCCATAAACTCACAACTAGTCTCAGATGAGTAGTATTACACTGCAGGGTGGGACGCATCAGCCACGTCTAATTGAGTGAGACAGCTCCACCTGCTGGTTCAGCTCCAGTCATGTCTCCTCACCTGACCAAAAAGAAAAAAGGCGTCCATCAGAGCTGCAGCCGATTAGCTTCCTAAAGCCATCTGCTGGTATTTGTAGATTGATGCATGTGACCGGATCTAAATGAGGCTGCAGAGAGTCACATTCATTGCAGGCTCTATTTACTGACGCGCTCTATGAGGGAAGATGGTATTGATATTTCATTATGAGTCTAATAAAGGGCAGCCAGTATTGACTTTTCATTAATAGGGCTGGTTTGGTGCAGATTAACATGTCTGTGCTGTTCATAATGACTTGGAGAGATGCTAAATGGCTCCAGCTGGGTGTTTTAAATGACCTCAATGGTTTGTCTGATCTGAACATCAACTGCATCTTTCACGACTGAACTAATAGCGAGAGCGGGAGAGGAGATGTAGAGATACACTGGCAGAGAGACAGGCAGGCGGAGAGATAGACCGATAAAGAAGACACAGGCGGAGAACACTGAGCAACCAAGATGCCATCTGAAAGATAGCGAGAGATCAAAAGAGAACAGAATGTGAGTTAACGAAGAGAACAGAACAAAAGAAGAAGAAAAAAAGCCATGACTAAATAATAAAAAAGGCCTGGGTTTGTTTTCGTTCCTTCGGGCAGACCCTGACATCAGTGCCACTGGCTGTCAACATGATAGAAAGTGTGGTCAATGTGGCGAAACTAGCCTAGCAACTAACGAAGACCATACCATCAATGTGACGCATTGTGGATGCTAAACAAAGCAGCCGGCCGTGTGCGCCAAGCACTGGCCTGTCCTTGACGTACACTGGCTTTCTTTGCATCGACACAAAGGAGGTTTGAGCCAAAGGATTAATATGAAGAAAAAGAGACCACAAAGCAGAGAGGCTTATACTGTCAGGAAGCATACACACACACACACACACACACACACACACACACACACACACACACACACACACACACACACACACACACACACACACACACACACACACACACACACACACACACACACACACACATAAAGAATCTTCTTACAATGGTGAGCCTGGGGACAGACTGAACTTTCAGCACCACGGACAGTGTCACGATGCTGGACTGCCGCTCTGAAGCTTGGTTTGTGTCTGAAAGTGTTTCTCGTCATGGCGCTGCAGTAGACTCTGGGGCGACTGACTCCCCCTCACTGTAACTGGACTAAATAAGGCCCATTCACCTCCTGGTATTATCCGCTGCACTGTGGCGAATTTTAAAGTGGCGGCGCCTCCATTAAAATGAGTGATGATCCTGTTCTGCTCCCACAGCGGAAAGCCAAGACTTTTAGGCAATAATGGATGGGCCTTTTATCAACACAGTGCTCCCTTCCTGCAACTTTGTGAATGTCTGTAAATGTGTGTGTGCTGTTTGCTATCTAACAGATTCCTGCTGGACTGTTGTTCCGCTGAGTGAGTCAGGCTATTGTCATACACTGTTCGCACATATACCCACGTAAAGTAATGCAGCCTTTTTGCATATAGACTATGTAATCGTGAGAGAGGACAGATGATATATTTCCTCGTATCGAGGAGTTTGGAATGGAATGACTAATGAAACAGGAAATCAACCTTGACTTAAATTCAGTTAAAGATCTATAACATATAAATACACATTTATCAGAACAAGTAAAGTGCTTTCAACTAAATCTCAAATAACTGTAAATGAATGTTGACAAGACTGGTTGCTCAATATCCATTCTATTTTATTTGTTACGGTAACTCCGTGCTAGAACGACACTTGCGCAGTCTTTTTAGCATAAATCTTTCAGCATAGCTTGTGTTGCTGGACATTGGTCGCTGCGAGGGGGACCCAAGTTCCCATCGGCGAAAACACGTGGGTTTGCTGTCCTGGCTCCAAGATGGTGGAATGAGCTCCCCATTGACATCAGGACGGCAGATAGCTTGCACATCTTCCGGCGCAAACTGAAAACTCATCTCTTTCGACTCCACTTCGAGCGTTAGAACTATTAACGAAGCACTTATATACTAATAAAGGACTGGCTTACCTAAAGCCAGTTGAGTAGCACTTTAAATGTTTGGCTCTATGAAACCTGATGTACTTATATGATTCTGTTTTCTTCAAGGTTGTGTCTTCCTGGTCGAATGTACTTATTGTAAGTCGCTTTGGATAAAAGCGTCAGCTAAATGCAATGTAATGTAATAATTGGTAGGAAAATGTACAAATATAACAATGTCACTTTTTGGAAGTACAAACCAAGCATTTGTGAGTGAGTAGAAAAAAGGAAGATGTGTACTTGTAGATGGAGGGAGTTTTTATCATGCATTCACTACGTCATGGTCAAATAGTAAATATATTGAGTTGCTGAATCAGTCTTGTGTCAGGGTTCTGAGTGTGTTTTCTGCCTCTTGTTCTCTATACAGAAAGTGTCCCAGTACACCATCATCGTCCAGGCCACTGACATGGAGGGCAACCTAAACTTTGGGCTGTCAAACACAGCCACCGCTCTCATCAGCATCACCGACATCAACGACAATCCTCCAGAGCTGACAGTCAGAACGGTAAGTCCTACATTTCGTTGTTGTTCCTCAGGATCAGCAGCTCCCTCCTGGTGCCTTGGCTTTGCAGCTGTCACAGCAATGAATTGAACAGCTCCTAATTATACATTGGAGAGTAGCCGTATATTTATCATTTACTCCTTTGCTTTTAATAGATTTATTTTCCATATTTTGAGTGGATATTGCGGTTTTTCACCTCATCACTGAGCGTGTATCCGCTATTGTAGCAGCTGCTTTTAAGGTCACTGTCCCATTGTCCCATAGAATATGCTACATATAGCACATGAGGGTGTAATACTCTGAGTCAGAAGAGGCTACCTCCAAAGGAAAACATTGCTGTCAGATATTATTAGAAAATACATTATCTGGTCCGTGTCAAAGACAACAATCACGCAACAGTAACTCAGCTGAAATGTGTTTTTGGATCACATTGAGATGAAGGGAATGTAAATACAACAGCTGACAAGGATGCAGTGTAAGGATATTAAGAATATAAACCCACACAGAGACAGATAAAGAAACACCAGCAAGACAACATATGGAGAGGCAGAAAAGGCACCGTCACTGAAAGAACATCGAGATAAGTTTTGGTGATGGGAGGCGTCCTGCTCCCTCCTTCCCTCTCTGTGTTATTCCTGCCAGTGGGGCCTCTGGGGGCCACGGTTTGTCTGCAGGCATCTGGCCCTGGTCCCTGATACCTCCACATCGGTGTGACAGGAAGCCCTACTTTTCTACAACAGTGTCTGTGGTTACGTATGGAGTTAGGAAAGGTTATTATGATACGATAATACTTTATTGTCAGATCAGGTCTGAAGTCTTTCTTGCATCAAAGCAGCTCCATTTGCATCATTTACAAGGACAGATATTTAAAACAAGATACAAGGGAACAAACATTTAAATAAACCTCACGATCACCAAAGAGCCTCTAACGCTAATCTAGCCTCTAGCCTCTTTTATTTACTTTTAAAGCCCTCAATGGCCTGGCCCCGCCCTACCTCTCTGAGCTGCTACACAGCTACGCGCCCACTCGCACTCTCAGGTCAGCTGATCAGTTGCTCCTGAGGGTGCCGACAACAAAGTCTAAGCGCAGAGGGGACCGTGCTTTCTCTGCTGCCGCCCCTAAACTGTGGAACGACCTGCCCGTGTTAATCAGACAGGCTCCCACACTGCCTGTTTTTAAATCCCGTCTTAAAACCCACCTCTTCTCCTAGCATTCGTAAACAAGTAGATTGTTGCTTTTATTTGCTTTCAGTGGTCTATTGTTTTTATTATATGGCTGTTTTTAATTTTTTAATTGTTACGTTTATTCTGGTTTGTTTTGTGTTGGTATCTTTTATTTTAAATGTATTTATGTTGTGTTTTGTGAGCTGAGCTGTGTGATTTTATATTTTATATATATCTCTGTGCAGCACTTTAGTCTGGAGGTTTTAAAGTGCTATATAAATAAAGTTGGATTGGATTGAACGTACATTTCACCTGGGATTTAGCTCTGCATTTGATTTGATGATTGACCGGTGCACAAAAGAATGTCTGGCCTGAAGGCTGAAGCTGATTCAATCGCAGGACCCTCTGATTTGATGGTCCTTATTCAAAATCCTTATTGATGAGGAGATATCAGCTGAAATCAGGGGAAGGCCCATAGAGAGCTCTCTGTTCTCAGCATGGTCACAGGACAAAATAACAAACGCTGACAGACCTGCAGGACTGCAGCTGTCCCTTAACTGAACGCTCAGATATCTGGGATTCCAGAGAGAGACAGATGCTTTCTCCTCCTCCTCCGCGGGGCCGTGCTCAGCGTGCATGCCAGTACAGATCCAGCCGCCCGCTCTGATAAGAGATCCCCGGTTGTCAGGGCTCAGAACTGCTCCGTCCCCCGTCTGTGGGCCTGGCTCCGTCACCACTCTTCACAGCGAGAGTCGGGTCTAGTCCTCCCGCTAGCCAGACAATTAGATAATTGACATGCAGCGTTCAAAAGACATAAAAGAAACACATTGTACTTTGTCCTTGACATGTAATGTATGTTCACGCACGCTGTGATAAATGTTTGTCATTTCTTCAGAGCCTCATTATGTTCCCTTCAACCCTCCTGAGTATATAATTCGCCTGAGCCTGTCAGCAACGTAGCAGTTGCCTGTGACTCAGAAGTACAAATGAGTATAAATGTGTTTTTGGTCCTTCACTTAGACGCAAACAGTGATGCAGCTCTCCCACGGCACAGACATTCTCCTCCTCCACCAGATGCCATTTCCGCTGCTTTGTCAATCTCTACTTTGCATGGTGCTTCCCACACAAGCAACTAGTCTTGGAGCAGTTCAGTAATTATTTGTGCATGACAGATGCGAGAAGAATTCATTTCTCTCTACGGGATGCATAAAGAAAACAAAAGCGTGCTAATTAAGTAAAATTGCTTACGGGGGCGTAAACCAAGCTGATGGTTAAAAAAGATATGTGTTATTCATTACACCACACCACTCAATGTTACTGCTCCGTTTGTCATTATGTGGTAGATAAAGACAATGTTATTTGCAACTATTGACCTAATCAAAGTATCTAAGTGTATCAAACCCCTGCTAAAGTGAACCAAGTGTTATTTAGATTCCACGAAACAATGCTAACCTCTCACACACACAGGCTTAAAGACCTCAATAGACTGCTATTTGTAATTCACCTGTAGAGCTGCAGAGTGCCAGAGATTATTTTCCTCTTCCCTATTCTTGACTTTGATGTGTGTTAAAAGAGAGGCTGCTAGGAAAAGCATCTTGATATTTCTGCATTGAAAAATGAGAGAGAGGGTAGACACCTGTTTCCAGTAACTATATCACACTATAGAGAAATCTCAAGTGATGATGGCAGTCTTTCATTGGTAGCAGCATTGGTATAAGTAAGTAATGCTGCCATGTATCATTAGTGGTTGTTCTAAGGACATCGTGAGGAAGAAGAAAGGCCTCCTTTAGTTTATTTTAGCTATGCCTTCCGACATGGAACATTTTCCTTTGCTCAATGAGTTGTCAGTAATGCTGTAGTTTATTCCCCTTGCTATGCAGTGCACCTTGATGCATATTCAAAATAATTGGAGGTCTGTACAGCGCTGTAACCACACTGATTTACCCTCGCTGGACTGCAGCTCAAACGTTTGAAGGCTAGCCGTGTTTATAGACAGTTAAAATATTAAAAGCAATAATTAGAAATGATGCAACCTTACATGGGTTTTGAAGGGATGACAATTCATTGTTCAATGATGATGCTTATGCTTTGAATGGTGGGGACCTTGGGAGGTTCAGTGCCCCTAACACACACCATGCCAATGTGCTTTTGTCTGCACAAGTTCTCAACAGCAAGACTATGTAACTCTTCAAAGGAAGAACAATGGCACTTGAAAGCAGACACTGGCCAATGGTGCATTCATGCGCTCCTTGAATGGTCTCATTTCTCGAGTTTGAAAGTTGTTCTTGTTATCCAACTTTGGTGTTATTTAAACTATATACAAACTATTGCTCAGTTAATTCATGGTCAGTATATCAAAACTATTTCTCAAATCAACTCCTTTAAAGGTGGGGTAGGTACTTTTGGAGAAACCAGCTCGAGTGCGCTAGAATTTGAAAATACACAGCCGGAAGAAATCTGCTACTTCCTTACAGAGCCCCTCCTCCAACACACACGAACGAGCACACGACCAATGAGGGCACGAGATAAGTTTGTGCACAGATGGAAGGCTGACAGGCAGGTAGGCCATCCAGTTATTTTAGCCGGGCCGGCTCAGATGATTGGTCGTGCTTTTTACAGTACTACAGCTTCCACAGATGATATTTTTAATGGATTTTTTGTCAAAGCACTTCAGATATTCATTGCTATCGGGATGTTAAGAGCATTCCATGGAATATAACAAGTGTATCTCGAGCCGGTTTCTCAAACTTACCTACCCCACCTTTAAAGGTGGTCACAGCGACATCACTTAATGCTGCTGAAAAAGCTCGCTCTGTTCCTAACATTTTCTCCTTGTTGAATGTTTAAACAGACGAAGCACATAATGTGTATAAAGCCCCGTAAAGCTAGATCCTGAAACCCTGACAAAACCTTTTGTGACCTAGCAGCTCAAATTCAAGTTTAATGATTCTTTTTATTTCTCACCAAGCTCCCGTTCAATGATTACCTACAACTGGATCTTTTTTGTCAACACTCCAGTTCCCCCTGCTTTAGAGCCACAAAACCCATCAGAAACTAAAGTCTGTGTCTCTAGTGGCTTATCAACGGGTCCACATTGCATTTTAGTGAGAGTGGCCATTTTGGAAGCGTCCTCCCCTACATTCAGCACCATTGTGTTTGCCTCTGAGAGCGTTTTCCATTTGGCCGTCTGACAGCGCAGCCTGGAAAGTTTGTGGTGGTGTTTGTTGCAAAAGCCTGGGGTGAAAATGAAATGGAATAGCCCACACACAAGCGACTGAAAGTGCATATTTAATTTGTTCTCTGCTTATCAGTGTGGTCGTACTGCAGGGGAGAGGAGAGAAAGTGGGCAAGGAGGAAGGGAGGGAGGGGAGGGGAGGGGAGGAGGAGGAAGAGAGGATGTTTTGGATCGGGTTGGACGCTGCTTCAATCCCACGATGATGAAGCCATTAAAGTGAACAGCAGCTGGCAGACACACCCCCCAAACAAGTTAAAGCTTCACAAGAGGAAACACGGATTATTGCCTGACAAGGGGAGCTTTTAGTGTGTGTGTGTGTGTGTGTGTGTGTGTGTGTGTGTGTGTGTGTGTGTGTGTGTGTGTGTGTGTGTGTGTGTGTGTGTGTGGTGTGTGTGTGTGTGTGTGTGTGTGTGTGTGTGTGTGTGTGTGTGTGTGTGTGTGTGTGTGTGTGTGTGTGTGTGTGTGTGTGTGTGTGTGTGTGTGTGTGTCTCTCTCGGGTGCCCATCCCTCTGATAAACCCCTATAGAGAAGGACATGAATACTATTGTTCTGTAAACCCATCTTCAGGCTGCGCTGCTGTAACCAAGTTTCCTCCAGAGTAAGTTCAGAGGGGGGTTGTTTGAGATTGCAAAATAATGAAGATCATTAGCCAAAGATTATTCCTACCGCTGTCTTAATTACAGTACTTATCTAATTGCTTATTAAGAGCTAGATTTGGTGAATGCACAGAGTCTAAATTAAATGGGTAAACACTTCAAATCCATTAGTTCAAATAAGAGTTTCGTATTAGAAGACATGGCGTGGAAAAGAGGGACATCATTTACATAATGGAAGATATGATTCTCTATTATCCACATTGAAACAATTATGTCTTCTCGGTCTCTTGTTTGTGTAATTTCTCCTCTATTTGTTTTGCTACCACTTTCTGTGTAATGAGCATTGTTGACCTGACCTTAAAAGTGGTTTGTTTTCATAATAACAGAAAATGCTTGATGATGACGCAAGGAATGTGAATAATTTCAATAAATCAACGTATTAACATGCATTAGTAGCTTGAGCTACATCATTAACATGAACTCTTCCCTCCCCCGCTCCCTCCCCCGCTCCCTCCCCCGCTCCCTCCCCCTCTGTAGTTTTCAGGGGAGGTGCCGGAGAACAAGGTGAATGTGGTGGTGACCAACCTGACGGTGTTGGACAGGGATCAGCCCCACAGCCCCAACTGGAACGCTGTGTACCGCATCGTCAGCGGAGACCCCTCGGGACACTTCACCATCCGCACCAACCCCATCACCAACGAGGGCATGCTGACGGTGGTCAAGGTAATACAAAAATAAAACAAGCTAATCATTAAGGCTTCTCTACAAACATTGTGTTTTGTTATCTATTATTATTCACGTCTTGCATGTTTCCACCTGCTCTGGTGGCAGATTCAAGATTCAAGGCTTTTATTGTCATATGTACATAGTTAGTGTAGTTATGACAATGACAATCTTAGGTCACAGGCTCCTCCAACAGTGCAGCACAATGAAACGGATAATAGTGCAAGTAAATAAAATAAAATAGAATATAATAGAAATAGTGCAGAATAGTCTATATACAAGTAATTGGAATATTGATATATATAAGTTGCAAACAGGTGAATGTTATGGATGTTCTTTCAAAAGTTCATGTGTTTAACAGTCTTATGGCCTGATGATTGAATCACACTCAAATTGGAGCACAGTTAGTATGAATCGTGCAATCAGCTATACTCATCCCCCCTCCACTCTCTCTCCTTGGTGCTTCTCTAGCCCGTGGACTTTGAGATGAATCGCGCCTTCATGCTGACCGTGGTGGTTTCCAACCAGGCCCACCTGGCCAGCGGCATCCAGTCCTCGCTCCAGTCCACAGCGGGGGTCACCATCTCGGTCCAGGATGTGAACGAGCCTCCAGTCTTCCCTGTCAACCCCAAGCTGATTCGCTTTGAGGAGGGGGTGCCGGCCGGGACCACTCTGACCGTGTTCGCTGCTCAGGACCCCGACCACTTCATCCACCAGTTTGTCAGGTACTAAAACTACGCTAAGGACCTTATGGTTTCAGTTGGGTTTGTTTGTGAGCAGGATATGGGAAAAACTACCAATATTCATGGGACTTGGTTAAAAGATATAGCATGGGCTAAGGAAGCTATTATTACATTTTGAAGAAGATCCAAATATGGATAATAAAGCTATTTTTCACTTTTGTCAACATGGCGAGATAGCGCACTTGGCCTTTGCAGAGGTCAACGCTCACTGATAACCCTTCTAGTTTGTCAAATGTCCTACATCAACAAACTGGCACAACATAAGAAAACTGTCCTGATCAGCATATCAGGGGCCAAGTCTGTGGGGGAACCGGGGGGTCGAGGTTTAGGTCCCAGAACGGACCAAACACGAGAATATTCTGGTAGATTGAATTCCATATAACTTCCTGGGGCCCTGCCTGGTCAAGCACCAGACCCACACTGCTGCCCCTTATACAAGGACAGGTTGAATGCAGAGACTAAGTTTCACTATGTGAAATTTGTTTTGTAAAGCACTTTGAAATGACATATTGTCATTGTCATATATAAATAAACTTGCCTTGCCTATGTGTGCTGTGCTCAGTACATGTACATGTGTGTGATAATTAAAGAGGAATGTGATTGCTCTCCATATTTGACAGCACCTTAAGCTGAAATTCTCTTAAAAACTGACATGTTGTATTGGTTAGGAACAGTTCATTATTTTCACATCTAGCTCCTACAAGTATTGCTTGTTTCCATCTGATGACTGTAAGTTCAATATTCACTCTCATTTTATCTCTGTTTTGGGGGAATTCCTTGCTCTTTAACTCCACTATGCTAATGCCGCCATGTGTCATACGATTAACCGTATAAATCCTCCGGGGGGGGAAACTGAGTGCCATCATTCACATAGGACAGACACACACATCCCAAGGCAAAATAAATGAAGGGGAGGGGATAGCACTATACTATAAACATCAGTATGACATTGGGCATCGGTCACGAGGACGTCCCGCACAAACATACGTGGACGTATTCAAGAATGACGTAGGAGCACAAAGTACCAATGAACTGGCCAGATGTATGGAGAACCGGGATAACTGGAAGCAACGATGGAGGGCTCGTCTGAGGACGACCTAGAGAGAGATGACTGTACTAGTATTTGGCGCCAATCAACAAAAGCATCAGCAGCACATCATCATTTCAACATCCTGAGTAACAGTTCATTTAAAGAACTCACTGCAGCAGGGCCACGCTCTTCCTGGATGTCTCTGAATAGCACCGGCTGAAGGAGCTCTTCAGCTAAAAACATGAAACACTGGATCTGACCCTCACCGCATAAAGCGGTCCTTTGCTTCATGATCAGTGTTACAAAGTCAGAGCTCAGGCTAATAATGGATCCTTCCTGATCGCTGTACAATGTTAGGAGAACTGCAGCCGGGCTTTTTTCTCTGTTGTTTTGTCACTCTGGGCGACCAGTTTAACTCAAATTCAATCAGTCAGATTTGTTCTAATCTCAAATTGTCTTTATATTAATTATATCTTATTTTATTGTAACTAAATAGAGTATTAACGGAAACCAGTGGCGAACCGTGTCTATCACAACCGGACCTTCTGTAGACACACACACCCCCTGCCGCCCTCCGCAGCATTATAATGTCCGTCTTTTCACTGAATTGTCGTTTTGAAAGGTACTCACAACAATTCCGCAACAACTTCATCTTCACCTGTTCCACTTGTCATTTCAACGTTAAAAACAATAAAACGGCATGAATTGCTTCGTCGCATTCATCTACAGTAGATCCTCTGTCTCGAGCCAGTTAACTAGCGGGCCTAGTACCCTGGAACCGAGGGGAACTCTGAAAGAATACGCCCATTGGCTACAAATCAATATATGATTGGTTGATCAAACTGTCAGTCCAAACGCACGCTCTCATTCAGTGCAACGGCCAGGGCATTCGATCAAGGATGTAGAATACCTTGGTTGAAGGATATTCTACCCAGAGACCCAGAACAAGATCTGATTGGTTGCTTTCTTTTCTAACACAAAACCACTGAAATGCGTAGCATGGTCCGAGAAGGACAAACAAATCAACGTAACACTGTAATATTACAGATCAACAACACAGATACGATTCTCATTTATTCATTTTATTACATTTTATTATATTTTATTACATTTTATTTATATAATTAAATCGATTTTTTGTTTGTTTTATCTGAGTGTTCCAGGGTATTCTCTGAATACCTTAAAGGCCCTGAAACAAATTACACTCTTTAAATGATAAAGTTAAAGGGAAATAGAATTACCTCCCACTCAACCCATTAAAACACTTCATAAAAAGAAACGAGGAAATGTAGTATCAATCGAATAACTTTATTGCATCACCAAACCACATATTATAAATAAGATTTTGAAACCTTCATAAACAATATATGTTCCCTATGTCTTTAAATCTCCACTTAATCTTCAGATTCAAGGATGTTGAGATCATTTGTTTTTGATTATTTATGTGCCTTTGGATTTTGTGAAGAAGTTTTATTTTCTGTAGGTGACACGCATCAAAGTTAGAAATCACTGCTCTTACTGCAGCGACTTCAGGAACAAACAAGAAGTCTCTGAGAGGCTGAGGTCGGACCTGGTTGCCTTTGTAAAAAAATCCGTGCTGACACCCGAAAATGCGTTGAACAAAATCTTAATTTAATGATTGCACAAACGTATCATTCGAATGATCCAGTATAAAGTTGTGTTAAAAATTACAGCGACCCTCTCACCAGTGAATTGACTTACCGTGAGTGCTGCCAATAACCATGTGATTGAACTAATCCAACCCATGACTGATCACAAAATAATTGGTAATAATATTATGAACAAAGACCAGTGCCAAAATATTAACAATGAAAAACTGTGTTTCCCCACTTTCTGGCATTAATGGCACCTGCAGTCACTACCAACTGCCTTATCTGTTTAGTACGAAGCACCTTCTGTTGGTTACTTCTTTAATACAATACAATTAGAAAAGGAGATTCTCAAAATAATTGCAGTCAGTCGTTCGACAATGGACCGAAGCTTCTCAAAGGCCAAATACTACCTTGATGGTCAGATATCTTACAGCGAGGCATTTCCAATATGTCCCCACTGCGTACTACATTTATCTTCTTCTCAATCTGTGTGTCAGCGCTGAGCAGTTTCTCCACAGTTTATCCGTCGTCCGTGACATTTTCCACCGACCCTCCGCCCACAGCCCGATCTCCGGTTACCTCCCCGTTGCCTGGCGACTGGTGTGAAGAGGTTATCCTGTAATGAGTCGGACACTGTGTATCTGCCCTCCTTGGATCCCTATCTTCTTCTTCTCTCCTCCTCATTGATCCCCCACTCCATCCTTCCTAACTAGGGTGACACACAGCGGGCATTGTGCCATCCAGGCATCGACCTCCTGTGACAGAAACCCCCGCCCCCCACATGCCCACTGAGGTCCAGCGGCACCGTTCCACTTCATAGGCAGCTGCAACAGGAGGGATTGATTTTTCTTAATGTCAGAGAGATGGCCTCTTCCACTGGAAAATGTGCTGAATTGAAAGCGAGGTAGTGGGAGACGTTCGGCCGGGTTTCTATTCCTACAAAGACATGCAAGTTGGCTGAGTTGCTCTGCCTTTTGAGAGAAGTAACTCCTCTTTCACTCTCTTTTCTCTCATCCCCCCCTCCCCTTCGCTCCCGCTGACCCTGTCACTTTCTTCCCTGTCAGTCTGTGCGTTTGTTATTGGCGGGAGCTCAGAGCTGCCGTCTTCTTCTCCGAAGCAGCGTTCCAGCAGACGCTCAGCTCATGCTCAGACAGCCTCATCTCTGCTGCTGTATTCCCTTTAGGTGACCTCGCTTGAACCCTCGCTGAAGCTCACACAAAAAGACACCCGAATGTAGAGCGGGAGACTCTCAAACGCACGCGAACGCAGACACCAGCTCCCGCAGAGCAGGAGTGAGAGGCCTGTGAGTTAGCAGAGGTTTGGAGCCGAGCCAGCTGGAGATTTGTTTAGCTTTCAGAAATTCTTAAGATGATCGAGCCTTTTTTGTCTGCTGATTTCACTGTAAGATAGGATTCAGGTGGCAGCTAATTTATGTGTGCTTCTCTGTTGGTATTAGAATATTAACCCAACAGAATTATGACATTTTTGTGAAGTGATATGCTCATAATAAAGGTCTTAGTTTAGGGCTTATGCTTTTGATTTCAGTAAAACTCCAGCAATTAAGTATTGCACTTTCGTGAAGTAGGGAGACTCAAAAGAGACATATTAAAATAGGGTCAACATCGAAACAGCGTAGGCTGAGACGTTCTGACATTTACACAAGGTCTCTGCAGCCTGTTCAGTCCTCAGGCAGAGTCTCACAGGATGCATCCACCCTACGGTTCGGCAGGAAGTTAAAGTTTCCAACCAGCAATGGCTGATAAAATGCAGCTGTGTGCGGCCTTGTCAACTCATCGTAAACCACTCTTCATATAAACTTGACAAAACAGAATAAGGTTCACTAAAACGGTCATCAATTAACGGTGTCAATAAAGGTTTATTCCACAATTCCCACATTGTGATTAACAACGTATTTTCCTTGATGCTCCCCACTTCAGTCAAAGCACAGACCATCAGTTTGTAATGCAATACTTGTGTTAGAATCAGCGCAGTGCCTTTTAAGGGTAGAATTCATATGGAGTTTAAGCTAAGAGTTCATTCTTAATTACTCCCCGGGTTAGGTTGACATAAGGTTAACCTTCCCATTGTTAACATTGTTTTATATTTCCATCAGAATGCAATGAATGTAAAGCCATGATATTACACCAAATAAGTACCTTTGGATTAGCACAAAATAGTTTGACAATTTTGTTGACATTTACAGTAAGTACATGGTTTTGATACATGGTTTTGATCCCTGTTACACCTTACCGTATAAACAAACCATTATCAAACTTTGTTAACAGAAATCCAAATAGACTTTTTTGGAATCTGGAAATGGAAGTCCCAAATAAAATGTTTTCAAAGCAGAATAAATGCAGCGTTATCTTCCCTAGAGGGCTTCTATCGTCAATTGAAAATCATGTTTATAGGCAATTTTCATAAAATAAGGACATGTCATATAGAATCAAAGCTGATCAAACTATAACGCAGGGCATGTTTTTGGAGATGTAAAAAGTCTCCTAAAGTCTCCAGGACCCCAAACAGAACATGAAGGGTTAAAGGTCACGACAGGCGTCAGCAGAGTGAGACAGAGTGAGACACTTTGCTCTGCGAGCGGCACATGAAGAAAGCAGGAAGGGACATGTTGTTGGCACAGGAAGCAGCATGACGTGCGAGTCTAACCTGCAGGGGAGCATCAGATCCTGACTAACACTGCATGACAATCTCCTTCACTACAAATTACATTTATTTTCATCTATTTATTTTAAAGAAAGAAAATGTGAAGGATATGTCGAAGGATTAGCTTAGTGTGTAGCAGTTTGTGTCTTCAGCTGGAGGTGGAATTAGCTTTCTCCATGCGTGTGAGGCTCTGGATAACCAGCCTCCAACGCACTGCTTTAATTAAGCCCCCTTCCCCCTTCATCACGGTTTCCTCCGACCACGCTTACATTCAGAAACACGCCACGGATATCTCTCACTTTGTCTTGCTTTGGTCTTTCACCTCCACCTCCTGTCACCATGCTGACCATCTCCCCACCTGTGAGACTCCTCGCCTGTCCTCAATTAACCATTTGTCATTAGGAGCTGAGAGATAAGCGCCACCTCCGCTTAGCCAGTTGTTAAGTCTTGTCATAGTTGTAAATGGGTTTTATAGACTTTAATTGCGACTGTCACTTTCCACTCGGTTGACGTATCGATCGGTGACAGAGAAGAGAGTTGCCGGGGGGGCCGTGTGGGTGTACAAAGAGCAGTGAAGTTGTGAAGAGCTCGGCTGTTCTGCACATGGGCTCAGGTTTAACTCGCTCTTCATGCTAATGAGCTGCTGCTATGATAAGCTCGTGAGCATATGTTCCGCTCTCCAAGTCATTGTAATATTTCAACGGTGCTTGGCTGGTATTGTTGCTTATTATGGTAATGAACATTCAACCTGATAATGGGTGCTTTGGATCCACAAATAAAGGAATCTGCTGGAAGTCAAGTAGCAGTTGGTGTTTACATGTGGATGTGTTTCCGTGGATTTGTGTTACTAAAGTATCTGGCTTTCTCTCTTGGTGATGTGTGTGTGCAGGTACTCCAAGCTGTCAGACCCAGCTAACTGGCTGAAGATCAACAGGACCAACGGGCAGATCACCACCATGGCGCTGCTCGACCGGGAGTCCATGTACGTCAAAAACAATGTGTACGAGGCCACGTTTCTGGCGTTCGACAATGGTAAGTCCGGTAAGTCAGGATGACTGTGTGTTGTGACACTTCGATTAACAGTGCGGCACGTTCAGGACTACATACAGTTAGGGAGGGGTATCGTTAGGATTTTATGGATACTGAAACTACTTCTTGATGCTGGTATTTATCCACACTCTTATCGATACTTTCATCCTTCATTTTGTGCAAACAATTAAGACATGTTATGAACAGAGGTGAAAAGATTCAATAGCAGTTTTTTTTTTTCATAAATAAATGTATAATATAGTCCTTGAGCTTCTTAACACCAAAGAGTAATAGATGAAAAAAACGTGAAATAACATTTTAAGAACAAAGATTTGGGATAGCATCTGTTTTATTTAGCCCAACCCCAAAATCAGAATCAATTCATCATTCAACAGTTTTAGTTTTTTGATCTCATCCCTACATAGAGTTGGCACTTCTTTGTCACATCAGCAGATCAAAGCATTGGAAAGATAGCCAGTAGTTTTACATTGATGTTATCCCATTAGATGAGTCCTTTAATGACCCTCGTGATCCCCTCACTTTTCAAATAGCACAGGGTTACTCAACTTGCTTTGGCAAGGATCCACTTTTGCAAAATGACTGGATACCAGGCCCTCTGTCAGTGGGTACAGGGGATCCTTCCCTGCCACTGGTTTTTATTATCAAGCTCCATTAGTTTGTTTTACAACACATCAATCATCATCTGACTGATAGATGGAAGCTGTCATATTTTTTCATCATCATTCATTATCCAAATGAGAGTGCAGCACAGGCTACAGATGAAGGTAGTGGGCATTTAGGGCCACAAGATAATCACAAAACATATTGTCCGGCATATTCCTCACTACTCTGATCACTAAAACTAGGATCACATTAGGAAACATAATGCATTATATAATATATGGGATTACGGTTGGCCTGTGAACGATGCGATTGTCTATTGGCTGACAGTTATCCACCACGGAGCCCAGCATGGTGATTTAAGAGCCCGGCCCCACCGTAATCGTGTCCTTAGCTTCAGGGAAGGTGTCGTGCTGTTACTTTCCATAACAGTGTAGGATTACTTGCTTGCATACAATGGAAAATGTCTTTCTTAGCTGTTACAAAAAACAAATTAAGATATTTCTACACATTGTTACTTTTCTCTATCTGACAAAGACTCATCGCAATTTACAGGAAAGGTCCACAAGAGGACTGAACTTTGCTTCATTAAGCTCATTGTGAAAAAAGGCCAACTCCCTTTTTTACATTATACTAAATTCGTTTTATGGCCCAAAGCTTCACAAATGCAGAGATATTGTAGATTATTAGTGAGGTATTTGATGAATGGAGGTTGTATATGTTAAATACGTCAGAGCCGTGTTACTCTCCAGTCAGATTCCCTGTAGACTTTGTAGAGTTATATTTGTATTTATTCATGTTAGCAAACTATGGATAAGCTTAAAATGAGAATAATTTGGGTAAAACTGTGAGCTGGATTTGGGGCCTTTTGACATGTGTTTTTGAGGACAAAGGAAGATGGGGGAAGGTGAGAGCATGTCTTGATTTGCATTCAACTTATCTGGCTACAGTGGTTGGGGAAACCTAAGGTCGGAGGTGTCTGTGATATTTGGGCGGCCAATCAATGAGCTCTAAATGGGAGGATCTGATAACTCCTCCCATTGTCAAAGAGTATAAACAGACACACACGCGGTGTTCAGCCTCTTTCCTCTGGCTGGCACACGTGCAGGTAAATTCGGGATCCCAAGGGTAATTTGTATTAAATTTGTACTGTATTGATTGTATTGCATTGTCATATTATCATTAAAGTAGATTATTGGTTAACGGTTATTTGGTAGCTCTGGATTCCTTCCTGTATTAACCAGCTTGATAGGGACGCGCGGAGATTTGAAAAGCGGACCAGATATCCCTTTAAATCTCTAACAACTTCGAATGAGTAAGGCCAGGGACGTGCACAGACATTTTGAGGGGCTATTGCTCTAAACTGAAAAAGGGCCTCCCCTCCCAAAAAAAAACATAAGACCTTTTGAAAATTCTAACTTGTTTTTAATGTAAAAGGTTAATTAAATAAAAACACAACACTTTCATTGCAAGTGACACTCAGTTGACTATTATGTCCAACTGCTAAATTCGTTATTCAGTCTGTGTTCAGTTCAGCCTCTCAAATGTGCTCTGAACTGGAGGCTTGGGGTTAGCCCCCAACAGAACATGAACTTCACTCAGCACAGATACAGGCTTTGCATGTATCACTGATTTCTTTTATTAGTGTACTCCAATGTATGTAGTTGCTTGACATAATCACAGTGCTTCACCTGCAGATGCCCTGCTGGCACCTTTTATCCAGCTCTGCAAAGTTGCAGTCCTTTTAGCTGCCTCCTTCAGATGTCTCTCTCTCTGCTTCAGTCTCCTCTGTCTTGAAGGCATTCTTAAGCACAGAAATGTAACATTAGGCTATGCATAAAATAACGAAACGATTATTACATTAACTAATTTGAACAGTAATTCACATCATCATCTCATAACAAAATAAGCTAAGGCAACGACTTGCATTCAGTGACTTGATTTTTAAAATGAAAACCAGGGATATCTTTTGTTTTGAGGTCCATATCTTATTAGACATATCTAATGTTAGAAACTATTAAAGAAAGAATGGGGGCAATTCTGTTTTAATGTAGTTTGACCATTGTAACTGCTGTGCAGACATACTGATAAAATAGGGCTTCTAACTAATTACCTTAAATAAACTCACTTAATTTCATTAATGAAACCAGTTCAATATGCATTATTCTTATCATTCTTTATGAGCGCAGTAACGGTAAGATATCTAATTACTTATTTATCTAGTATTCCATCACATAATAACAGAGATGGTCAAACTGAAGTAGAGACATGGCAGAAATCCTACAATGAAGCGGGACAGTGAAGTGTTCTCCGTGAGAGGGCGATCAAGAAAAGAGAGTGAGCAGTGAGGGAGTTTACAGATGAAAAGACACAGAAAGACAGAAGCACAATAACAAGTATATTTAGGTGTTTTTTTGTAAATAACCGACGGTGTCAAGAGGAAGATAAGTCCCCTGGTTGGTCCTCTATACTCTAACTGCCATTCGAAAACTCAAAATCAATTTTCCAAAATCCGACACTAGAGGTGGTCTTAAAAGCATATTTAAAAACGGGGACAGATTGACCCGGGGATTGGCCACCAAAGCCAGGCGGGCATTTGATATGATCACCATAGCCATATGAGGCCGGACTCGGAGGGCTTTCCTTTGCTTCCAGCCGTCAGATTGTAAACAAAGTCACGTTACTGGGGGCAGATGACAGCTCTAACTTCCGGTGTGTTTCCCGCAGCGAGACGCTACAATACTAATTGTGGGCTTATCATGTTTATTCGGCCACAACAGAAAAAGAAAAAAAAAAACTCACTCTCTCCAGAAGGGCAGGTCAGACACAAATTGCAAACGGGCCGTTGCCCGGGCAACATTAGCCCGTACCTGTGCACGTCCCTGAGTAAGGCGTTGTGTGCATATACTCTAGCATGCGTAATATACTGTACATAACTATGCGTTGACCTTCACTGCCCTCTGTGTGATAAAAATAGATCTGTAAATGAAGGTCTTTAGTTGTTGGAAGCTGAGGAGATGAAGCTCTATAAATAGAGGTGCTCTCTGTGTAAGTGGGAGGGACACAGGTGTTTTAACTCCAGAGAGGAATGAGGGATCGGTTGCCCCGAAGCACACCAACTTAAGCTCAAAGTGTTGCCTCCCTATTGATTCAGGAGCCCAGTGTCAACAAAGGGGATATATTCCACTTTGATTGAAATTCTCTTTACTTATTCTACTCAAGCAAAGCGAATGTAGCAACGAAGCACCCAGCCAATCATAACCGACAAGACGGTCGATGCGCCTTGGGGCCGGGGCAACAGACCTTTACATAGTTGATGCTCCAAGCTCCTGTGGGATATGGGGGGAAAAGTTGAGAAACAGCCCTGATGAGCTACTGCTGTAAACTCTATACATGCTGCATTGCATCAGGAAGTGTGTTGGGCTCGCTGACAGCCGTAGTGCGGGGGAGTTGTCAACTGGATATCAAGGCCACAATATATCACTGCAGTCTGTTTGTTCAACAGAGCAGCACACTTCTTCAGCCGTAGTTCAGGGATCTCAAGATCAGAAGTGGTTTCACTTCTCTAGAACTTATCGAGGTTTTCTGTAACTGCCAAAGTCTGTTCACATTGTCCAAAGCTGACGTTAAATGTATTGGCCTTCTTTCAGAGGATTGATATGACTGCATATAGTCCCTTGATCCTCCCTAGCAACAGTCTGTTATCCTTAGCAGCGATCTTTTTGTGAGAATTAACAACCTCTTGAATGTCCAAATTGACCAATCAGAAAAGCAGACCACTAATGTCATCAAGTGTAATAGAAGTCCACCATTAGTCATGCAGAAGTGATGTAGGTTGTTTATAGCCTACAACTTGCTGAGCAAAACGTGTTAAGTATTATAAACTTGTTTTTACCACACAGCTTATTTTCAGCAATAATCTCAAGTCTGATGAAAGAACCCCATTGGCTCTTAGTCAAGGGAACCAGAGCGATGCTAACATCTGAAATGTCCTAGAAAACCATCCCAACAGTACGCTATTCAACAAAAACAGCATTTTGTTTTTAATATCACTTTCAGCACAAGATATGTAATACTGTACTTAACCTCACACTAGAGGTTATCCTCATTACAAATGTTTCTATGTAGCACAGCTTTAGAAACAACTTCCTGTTCCCTTCTCTGAAAGCAGGCAGAGCACTTAAAATAAAACAACTAGACACTTATTCCCAGCGCCTTGTCGTACAGCACCAAGAGCAACAGAAACAGTGTGGCAGAAAAACAACATTTCTCCTTCAGTTATGTTCTGTTATCCAAGCACATTAGAGATTTGCTGCTGATGCATAAAACATCAAAAATGTGTCGCCCAACCTGATGCTTCTGTTCAGGCCTAGCACTCGTGAGAAACCCTGAATAAGTTATGATGAGCTTGTGTTGCTGGATCCACTGAAGGGTTAGCGTTTGAGTCATTTTCCCAGTGGGCTTTGCAGAGCGCAGATAACAGCAATCTTTATGTGAGTGTGTCCCCTCCCATACGAGTCTCGCCTCAGCCTTTTCAGAAAGCAGCCAGCTCTAAACACAAAGAATAAAAAATGTATGTCCTTTTCGTTTGTTCTGGGTGCTTTGTAGAAATATACATAGAATTGCCCCTCCGTTCAGCAGTCAGTAAACAAAACTTATGTCTACACAATTGTTTCTTTGCCACATTTTCTCACTTCCACACACAAATAAGTAAAAAAAAAATCTAATTAAAATTGAAGGATTGTTTTTTCTTTCTCAACATCGTAACTCCATTTTGTATTCTTTCTTTGCTCCATCTCCAATTTTCCTCCTTCTCTCCTTATCTCTACGTTATTATCTCACCATCTCCTCCTCTGATCTCGTTTCCTCTCACGTTTCCTTCAGGCTCGCCCCAAGCCAGCGGGACAGGAACTCTCCAGATCTACCTGATCGATGTGAACGACAACGCCCCGGTGCTGGTGCCCCGGGAGGCGCAGGTGTGCGAGCGAGCACGCCCCAACTCCAGGGTCAACATCACCGCCTCAGACGCCGACGCAGACCCCAACGTGGGGCCCTTCGTCTTCGAGCTGCCTTCTTTTCCCGCCAGCGTTCGACGCAACTGGACTATCTCCAGGATCAGCGGTAATGAAACGCTATGCATCGTCTTTACTGCAGCTGCCATTCTTACTGCAAATAGTTTTTGCCTACTCTGGTGATGTTACATTTAGGATGTATGTGGGGAATGATATATTCAGCATCTCCTGCCGAATTAAACCATAAACGTAACAGATGGGATGCAAAAGCCCTCAGCAGAGTAACTGGAGACATCAATCAGGGGACCGGGGATTGCTGTAAGCTGCGAGAGAAGTCCAAGTTTAACAAAATGTCTCACAAAGCTCACAGTGAGAGACGCGGGTGCCATCCAGTGTTGACGTACGATCTATCGCTTGTGACAAATGAGATCCATTCATCTCTCTGTCCCCCGAGCAGCCGATCTGTCACCTAATCCACCCAGATGGATGTATCACAGCAGTTGTCTTGAGGACAAATCTGATCACATACCTGGATCCTTCTCCCACTGAGACTCTCGTCTTAGCTTGGCTGAGTGAAAGATGCTGAAGGTTTTGCGTTCTGGGTGCTTTTTTGATATATCTTTACTGCCTCATACATACATGTCAGAATGATTACTGTGCGGTTTGTTTGGTGGCAACTTTTATTTGGCGTGTCGTTTTCTTGAACCTACGCACATGACGACATGATAAACTGCAGTAAACAAAATGTGAGTACACTGTCTGATCTTATTATCCCCTTGTTCTTCTTCTTTCCCCTCCTACTCACTTCCTTCAATGTCCCCCTTTTCCCTGTTTTTCTTCCATCCCCAGCTGATTACACCCAGCTGAGGCTAAGGATTCCTTACCTGGAGGCAGCGGTGTATGAGATCCCGATCATCGTGCACGATTCGGGGAACCCTCCTCTGTCCAACCGCTCTCTGATCAGAGTCAAAGTTTGTCCCTGTGATGATAACGGGGACTGCAGCGCCACGGGTGCGGTGGCCGCTGCCGGCCTCGGTACCGGCGCCATCATCGCCATCCTCATCTGCATCATCATTCTGCTCAGTGAGTGAAGCATCAAGCCTACGCGCTATTGCATCATTATATCAGTATGTGGCGTACCACGAAACAACTTTTCTGCTGTGTTTTTTCCCCAGGCATGGTTCTGCTGTTTGTGGTGTGGATGAAGCGCAGAGAGAAGGAGCGGCAGGCGAAGCCGCTGCTGATCGACCCCGAGGACGACGTCAGGGACAACATCCTGAAGTACGACGAGGAGGGGGGGGGGAGAGGAGGACCAGGTAACCTTTGAAGACCATAATACATCATTAACAAAATACATAAAAGGTTGTTCACCCGCAGTGACGTCTTTGAGAAAAAACGTTTTAACTTCTACTGTTATAGAAGATCAGAAATGTATGAATCGATAAGATTAGATAACTTCATTAGTCCTTATGTAGGGAAACTAGTTTGGCCATGCACAGTGAAATCCAACCAACAAATATTCCAAGAGGACAAAAGCACAGTTAGTCAGCCTGCCACAACATTAAAAACAATGTCATGTTTCAATTAATTATAGCTACAATTTAGAATTTCAACTCATCTGCCAATTATTTTCTCATTATTGTCAATGCAATGTCTTAAAAAAGGTGACAGATTGTTTGTTGTATTCATCTAGCAAACCCCCATACTTGTATCATATATCACAGAGAAAATGTTGGCTTTAATGAAGAAGATTTCTCTTCATAATATTTCCTGATTCATTGCCTGTCTAATTGAGTTTTGCAGCTAAACTACTAAATATTTACAGCAAAGTGTAAGTGAGGTGTCTAAAATCATGATCAATACACCAGGTTATATATCAGATTTAACTTTTAAACACCTAGCTCCTTGCAATCAATTAATGTGATGTCACAGAATATTAGTTAATCTACCAAAATTCAATTGTAAAATGAATTGTAAGTTTGGACAGCATTGAGCCGCAGAGAGAGTCTGTAGAGAATGAAAGTGAGTTAGACTATAAAAAGTTTTCAGAGTTCACTCTGCCCTACAAACTCGTGCCTTGGATGAAAATGCTGCCTGCTTGATGTTCAACTTCTTTCACACAAGGAGCCCCTTTACCTCTCAGAAATAGCAATATAAGTGTACGCCTACTGCACACCCCCTCTCCTTATCTCATAACATTTGCTCAATTTAACCTCAAACAATGTTAGGCTCCAACAGCTTTGATTAATCCAGAAAAGTATTATTAATTATGCCATTTTATTTCTTGCTATTTTCTAACACCCACACTCACTACCATCAGATCGCTGCCGTGTGTGTTTTCACTCTAAAGCTCCTCTGAGGTTTAATACCAGACAGGCAGAGTGTGTATATCCCCAGGCATTTCAAAATCTGTACAATTTCTGGCTCACAGTACACTTTGTACTTCTTAAAATCAACTTCATATGTCGAAAATTGCTTTTTGAGCATTTCAGACTTTTTCAAACAATAAAACACCATGAATTGTGGGTAATTCCCTTAGGCAAAGACAGCAGCAGTGCAGATTTACAAAAGGGCTCAAAGGTCCAGCAGAAAGCCCTGCAGCAGAGCTTCATGCAGGTCAGCCCTGAGACCTGCACACATAACAAGAAGGCACATCAAAGTGTGTGAGGGTGGACAGAGGAGAAAGTGTGTGTACCAACTTAGAAACTCAGCAAAGCACAATGCGTGTACAGCGCTGTATTTAGAGACAAAAGAAAAAGGTTAATAAGTGTATAGAAGATCTAATTATGAACACAAGTTATAAATTACCAATAAAGGATCAGAAGTAATGGATGAGCTGTCTCTCAACCCTCTCTCTCTCTCTGGGCTTCATGCAGGACTACGACCTGAGCCAGCTGCAGCAGCCCGAGTCTTTAGAGCACATCATCAACAAGACGGCGGGGGTGCGCAGGGTGGACGAGAGACCCGTAATCGCTGAGTCACAGTACCCCGTCAGACCCAGCCTGCCCCACCCTGGAGATATCGGAGATTTCATTAACGATGTACGTACAAGAATGGATGGAGAGTGTTTTCATGTTGTGTTTTTTCCTCAACTGTGATGTTGCAGTGTCCGGAGACTTCATTGATGTGACTCATACAGAGGTTTACACAACATAAAGGAGTTCAGTGTTTTTGTTCCCGTCAGCAGAGGTACTGCTCAAAGTGTGTGTGCCTTGTAAACAGCTCAGCTCAGACCTTGATGGAGCATTAAAACCCTAATGGGTGGGTGAGCAAGATGAGACGAGTTTACTGCATCTTTTACAGTCTGGCCACCTGAACCTGCTGTAGCCCTGTGAAACGTAATCATCTCAGTTATAGTGTTGGTGTACAATGACTGGCCTGAAGCCAATGTTGCTAAAAATACCTTGCTGATACAGTATATAGGGCCAACCATACACAAAGGGAATGCTGTAACTGCATAGACTGGATATAATAATCGAATGTAGCCACCGTTACATCACCCAGTGGTTAGTGGACTACCACTTTGAAGGCAAGGCAAGGCAAGTTTATTTATATAGCACTTTTCAACACAAGGCAATTCAAAGTGCTTTACAAAAAATGAAAGACATTAAGAAAATGGCATTTAAAATCAGTCATTAAAAAGAAAAGCTAATAAAATAAACATTAAAAGAAAAAAAATACATGGATAAAAGTTTCAGTGCAGTCTAAGATATGAATAGTTCAATTAAACATTAAAAGAAAAAGTACATGGATAAAAGTTACAGTGCAGTCTAAGATATGAATAGTTCAATTAAAAGCAGCGACAAAAAGAAAAGTCTTCAGCCTGGATTTAAAAGTAGTCAGAGTTGCAGCGGACCTGCAGGTTTCTGGGAGTTTGTTCCAGAGATTTGGAGCATAATAACTGAACGCTGCTTCACCATGTTTAGTTCTGACTCTGGGGACAGTAAGCTGACCAGTCCCTGAAGACCTGAGAGATCTGGATGGTTCATAATGTAGCAGGAGGTCAGAAATGTATTTTGGGCCTAAACCATTCAGTGCTTTATAAACCAGCAGCAGTATTTTGAAATCTATTCTTTGACACACAGGAAGCCAGTGTAAAGACTTCAGAACAGGAGTGATGTGATCCACTTTCTTAGTGTTAGTGAGGACTCGAGCAGCGGCGTTCTGAATCAGCTGCAGCTTCCTAATAGATTTTTTAGTGAGACCTGTGAAGACACCATTACAGTAGTTTTTCCAAATCCTGCTGTGACATTAGTCTTTTAATCCTAGATATGTTCTTTAGGTGATAGTAGGCTGATTTAGTAACTGTTTTAATGTGACTGTTGAAACTCAGGTCAGAGTCCATGACTACACCTAGATTTCTGGCTTTATCTGTTGTTTTGAACATTGCAGACTGAAGCTCAGCGCTAACTTTTATACGTTCTGACTTGGCTCCAAAAACCATTACCTCAGTTTTATCTTTGTTTAATTGGAGAAAGTTCTGACACATCCAGTCATTGATTTGTTCAATGCACTTACTCAGTGTTTGAATTGGAGCATAGTCTCCTGGTGAAATGGTTACGTACATTTGTGTGTCATCTGCATAGTTATGGTAACTTATTTTGTTGTTTTTCATTATCTGAGCCAGTGGTAGCATGTAGATGTTAAAGAGAAGTAGCCCCAAGATGGAGCCTTGAGGAACCCCACATGTCATATTTGTCAACTCAGATGTGTATTTACCTATAGAAACAAAGTTGTTTCTGTCCTTTAAGTAGGATTCAAACCAATTTAGAAACCACAATGAAGAGTGTTGTTCCGCGCCATCTTGTTTTTCAGAGCCAGTGTGACCATATTTGGACATTAGTATGGATCTGAAGAACAGTTAGGTTCACTAAATTACCAGCTTACGCTAGAAATAGCTGTCTTACTTAGTTGGCAAGGTGAATCCATAATTCCCTTAACTGTAAATCGGGATGCTAATTTGGATAGCATGGTAGCATAGCCTGCTTTACAGTTTTGGTACTGTAACCATAACTTACAAAATGAATATCACACTCTATTGAAAAGTCTTGATCCAATTCAGACCATAATCAAATCGGGGGATAGGGGTAATAAATCAAGAAAGGTAGGGTCTCATAGAGTTCTATGCAATCCGAGCCTGCTGGCTGTGAGAAACAAAGCAGGTTCAAGGCTCTTCCTCTGGCTCTTTTCAGACCCAAATGTGTTGCTGTAACTGTAGAGAGGAGGTTGAATATATTTAATTTGTCATGTGTCTGTCCTGATGTCTCCAGGGTCTGAGGGCAGCGGACAACGACCCCACAGCCCCTCCCTACGACTCCCTGCTGGTGTTCGACTACGAGGGCAGCGGCTCCACCGCCGGCTCCGTCAGCTCGCTGAACTCCACCAGCTCAGGGGACCAGGACTACGACTACCTCAACGACTGGGGCCCTCGCTTCAAGAAGCTGGCCGACCTCTACGGGGGAGGGGACGACGACTGAGAGCGGAGCAGGGGCCAGGGGGGAGGGAGAGGCGGGTCGGTTGAATGGATGCTCCTCGAAAAACCACTGGCAGGGGCCACGAACACCACGCAGTGTGAGGAACAGACCCTCACACGGGCTGCGTTGGTTTGCTCACAGCGACCGAGCTCACAAACATGAACTCCGCTGCAACGCGACTGTATTCTGGCTTTATATTTTGTAGTGGCGAGTTTGTAGTGTGACGTTTTTTTTTCTTTCTTTTTGTCGTTCTCTCACCGCGCTGGACCCGGATCTCTGGGGACGAATCAAGGCGGTCGTGAGAGACACGAGTAGTGACTTTGTGCTTTGATTTTTAAAAACGACACCATCTCTTGCTTTAGTCTCACACTGAAGAGAATGTTTGTGGGAAGACGCTCTGACTCTCTTTCACTCTGTCAACTTGAATTTCCTTAGAACAGAAGCACTGTCATTTTATAAAGTGCCTTTTGTGCTGTGTTTTTGTATCAGACTCCTGCTATCTCAGGATCGGTTGCCATTCGTGCAGTACAGTGGAGGTGCTCTCTCTCCCCCCCCCCCTCCTCTCTGCGCTCCTCACACCTGCCTGTCACACCCCCCCCCCCCTTCAAAGTGGTGCAGATGAACAACCCCCAGTCCCAGGAGGGAAGGACACAACCAGGGCAGACTACCGGATATCATAACCCACTGAATTATGGCCTAAAAGAAGCCAATAACAGTTTTTCTCCAAGGACCTGCTCAGTTTGACTTTCACAAGCATCACCTGTCGACACGCTGACATTGTGTGAAACCATTTTTATACATGTGGGGGTTTTCTAATTTAGTGGAGAATGCCTGCCTTTCCTCTGTGGATTCATGAGTTAGGAGCCTTTATGTTGAGATGCTTGCCTGCCCTGTATGGTTTTGTGTTGCTTTCTCCACAGTGTAAAGCTTATGTAGGCATGATCTGAGTAGTCAGACAGTGAACTTGAAAAGACTTGGAAAAAAGGCATCTGAGAACGATTTTTTTTGTCGCCTTGAACATTCCCGTTTTTTATAGGCTATTAAAAAGGTGCATGATTTTTTTTCTTTTTTGAAAAATGTTTTACTCAAAGCACTTGTTACTATGTGGTGAGAATGTGAAAATAGTCAGCGGAAACGATATGAATATACTCTGTATAAAGACACTGAGAAAAGAAAAATACTGTAAGATACCTATTTTTGAAGTATTGATGACTTAAAAGTTGCTGCTCTTTTCTCCGGCTCTTCATCGGGTTTAGGGGATTTTTGGCCTGTTCATTTGTCGTGTGGATATTTGAGTTTCTTTGTCTTTTGTTAAACCATAATTATTTTTTAAGATGCCTGCTTATTCATGTTTTGTTCAGTTTTTGCTATTATTTTCTTCTTCGGGATTGTTTTCTAAAAAATGCTTTGTTATACTCCTTTTATATGTGAAAACACAGCCTTTCCCTTCACTCTGTATCGTCTCGGACAGATTGTTGGCCTCTGGCCTCGGGACAGTGGACGGTTCATTAGCCATGCCTGCTGATAGTTGTTCTATTATTCAGTGTCCTGGAATAATTTTATTCATTCATCTAGATACTGGATGTGTGCTTCAGAAAATAAACAAGACATGTTTTGAAAATGTGCTCTTTTTTTATACATTCATCATCTTTAGGTGTATGCTAATTACAACACGTTCTATAATATCACAAGCTTTAAATGATCATGGGCCTCTTTAGATGTGTTTATTAAAGTGGACCTATCATGCTATATTTGAATAATATATTGTAGGGCCATACCTATATAAAACATGTCTGTGAAACAGATCATGCCTTTTAGCCATGTCTCATTTAGCTCTATTTGCTCTATTCCTGCCCTGTTGTTGCAAGGGCTGATTCTGTGGCAAATGAGCTGCAGCTGACCACGCCCCCCTGCAAAGGAGGGGGGCGAGGCACGAGTGTCATGTTACCATGCCACTGCAACCTCTCATTCCCCTGATAGGTGGAGTTTCTCCATTGGACTCCTTTGTTTACTACCGAAACATAGTGGCATCACTATATAACACTTGTGCTTCTATTGGGTATGCGCTCCAACATATTGAACATGATAGGCTAAGGGGCGGGACAGTTCTATGAGGTTGACCAATCACAACAGAGCCGGCCAGCTAACCAATCAGAGCAGACTGGGCTCTGGTTTCAGACAGAGGGTGAAAAGAGGTGCCGCAGCACAAGGCAGTATGAGAACAATAAAGAGCTTTTTGAACATTAAAGCATGGAGACATGTCCCAGAGGCACAAAATACAAATATGAACCTGATTAGCAGAATATGTCCTGAGTGGTAAAAGGTTAATGTGGCAGACTGCCAACTTTAATATCAGTGCTTTTTAAGCTTTGAGTCTTTGTTCATAAAATGATTTGTATCTGTATTTGCACACTGATGATGCAGTTTTTTTGTTTAATAATGTATTTGTAAGTGTTTAAGTGTAAGCAGAAATCATGAAGGGGAACATGCACCCTTTGTTAATCACGTAGTTAACCTTTAACTCTATTGTTTGGATATGGCTTCATTCTACTAATAAAAACAGCCGCTATTCCTTCTTATAATGCATCACAGACTCATTAGAAGGAGTAGGAGAGGTCAGGCAGTATATTTGTGACCGTTCCTGTGATTTCAATTAGTCAGCTGAAGCACCAAGAAACCCACTGGGGATTTAAAGGGATTTAATCCTCTCCGGCTGTGTGTCTATCAATTAGCCACACCATTAATCCCCACGGCGTAATCTCATTAGAAAGAGCGCCTTTAATGAGACACCCAGAGAGAAAGCGGGGAGGCGGGCGGTAAGAGAGAGGGAGAAAGATGAGGCGGCGGCGAGGTGCAGGTAGGCCGTGTGGAGAGGTGATTAGTAGGATGGAGGAGAGGGTCAGCGGAGAGAGAGAGAGGGGGAATGAAGCACAGCAGGGCCAATGCATAACATTTAGAAAATGGCTCGGAAAAAAGGAAGTAGAGAAATGGAGTATTGCTTAATCGTGTGTTGTCCACTCAAGAGATTAGAGGAGAGGGAAAGGAGACAGGTAGAGGAGAACAGCTGATGGAGCACGGTGGACTAGTTAATGAAAGGTGCTTTCATTCCTCATCTACGCTGCACTGCTTCAGTAATGAGAACATCCGGTAATAAACCAAAGTTAACCTTTACTCTGGTGGATTCTGCAATGGACCGGGCAGGATTGTGGTCCGGGTAATAGGAGAACCATCAGAGATGGGATCCTCTGCTCTGACATAATAATATAATAATCTCAATAATCAAGACGGAAAAAGGTCATTTTGGTCATAGCCAGTCAGCAGATAAGGAGATTGAGTTCAGGGAGGGTTTCTTTGATGGGCTTAGCTGAAGTTCACTTGGCCTCCCTTTGGCAGAGGGAAAGCAAACTCCAGTTGCCCCCTTGATAAATGGCGTTTATAGACAGAGAGCTTTGCTGCTGGCTCGTAGCCACTGCTTTGTGTGTTGTAAATAAAGTTCTCCTCCTCAAACATGTCCAATCCGGGGCTCTTTTTCATTTCCTCTCAATATAGCTAGTGAGTCTCGTGGGCCGGTGCCGGGAAAAGGTCCAATCGCAAAACTGCACAGGATGTTGGTTCTGATGCCGGCTGTGTGATCAACGGTTCCAGATTTAGTGGTGATGCTGCTGTTCAGGAGAAGGTACACCGCCCAGGACTCTGCTGCCGGCTCTTTTCTGCTGACACCACCCTGAGACTCTGCTATTTCAGGACTCTAACAAGAGATCAAAGCGGCCGAATAAATGTGATGTTCCTGCTGCAAGAGGGGAGAGAATATCTACTGTTTAACGACCAGCCATTTTTGATATGGATGACTGGTCCAGCAGACACACTCTGCTATTACCAAGACAGGGTGTTTAAGTCAGGACTCAAAGGGTCTGTGTGTGTTAAGCAGCATTTCCTGCTAGTAGTGATGCGTTTACTCCCTAATCTCATCTATTAAAGTCAATGTTACTCTCCTTCAATTACCCCACAGCTTAGTACTGTCAATCAAGTAGAAGCAGCCATTGCAAATAACATTTATACTAGTACCAGTACTTTGCAGTAGTTGTAGGACTGGCAAGAAAGACTGTATATACCATCCGGGGGAAAGCAGACCAAAGCCCTGGTTTGTGTCAGTTATTTTGGACAACTAAGAACATTGGAATGAATAATATCAGTAATAAATGCTCTGTTCTTTCGAAGTGAGTGCCGTAAGTTTTGTGCAAAACCCTAAACACTGCAGGAAAGGAAAAGCTTCCACACCAATGGAGGAAATGTATTTAAAATGTGCCACAAACTTCAACTTGGATTAAAGAACGAACTATTTGGATTTTGGTGGTCAAAGGCGACCTCAAAAAACACATTTTGGACTCTAATTAGGACAATTTCACGACATTTCTTACAGGCTAAAATGATGACGTGATTGTGATGTGATTTAGACAGACATGTAACCTCTATGACAGTTTAGCTGAGTCATACTACTGTTAGGTAGTCTAAAATGTATTTGCCCACATCCCTATGAAGGTGCAATACTAAATATTGGAGTAGTGCTTTTACACTTTACTTATGCAAATGATCTGAATACATCTTCTACTGCTGACAAACTATGACTTTTGACACTGTTCAAATATACTTGTCATATTCAGGAACAGCTATTATTTAATCACTGTGAATGATGCATCATGGGATTGCCCTTATGTTATTTGTTGACACAAATGTACATGACATGTGGGGCTGCTCGTCGTCAGAGGAGAATGATCTCTCTGTGTGATTACATCAGATCCTTGAGCAGAGTGGCTTCTCTAATCAGCTGGATGTGATTCTTCACGTTAGTCACAGGTTAAGTGCCTTCCTCTGGAAACTGGCTACACGTCTGAATGGTTGGAGAGCTTTCCTCTGCGGCCTGCTCAGTCTCTGGTGTCCTTTAGGGTACAATCAAGCCTCAATTCCCATCTTCCCCTCCATTTCCCTCTGTCAGCAGTGCTCCAGGAAGACAGACCCAATGTGACCATGAATAATGGATGCATAGCACACTCATTAGTATAAATAAATAATTGACCACCACACATATGTCATCATCCTGTTGGACCTGTCTGCTGCATTCGACACGGTGAATCATCAGATCCTCCTTCGCACTCTCCAAAAACTTGGAGTTTCAGGCTCTGCACTTTCCCTCCTCACCTCATACCTCAAAGACCGTACCTACAGGGTGACTTGGAGAGGGTCTGAGTCCGACCCTTGTCAATTAACTACAGGGGTCCCTCAGGGCTCTGTTCTTGGTCCCCTCCTCTTCTCCCTGTACACAAACTCGCTCGGATCAGTCATTAGCCCGCATGGTTTTTCATACCACTGCTACGCTGACGACACCCAATTAATTCTGTCCTTTCCCCGCTCAGAGACCCAGGTCGTCGCACGCATCTCTGCTTGTCTAGCTGACATCTCTCAGTGGATGTCTGCTCATCACCTCAAGCTCAACCTTGACAAGACTGAGCTGCTCTTCCTTCCGGGAAAAGATTGTCCCACTCTTGACCTAACAATCAACATCGGCACCTCAGTTGTTTCCCCGACTCAGACTGCAAGGAATCTGGGTGTGACCCTAGATAACAACCTGTCCTTCACTGCAAACATCGCTTGCTACAACCCGTTGCTGCAGATACACGCTTTACAACATCAGGAAGATACGTCCCCAGCTGACACAGAAAGCGACGCAGGTTCTGGTCCAGGCTCTCGTCATCTCACGCCTAGACTACTGCAACTCCCTCCTGGCTGGTCTACCTGCATGTGCCATCCGACCTCTGCAGCTCATCCAGAATGCAGCGGCTCGTCTGGTCTTCAACCTTCTTACATTTTCCCACACCACGCCGCTCCTCCGCTCCCTTCACTGGCTTCCGGTAACTGCTAGAATCCACTTCAAGACACTGGTACTTGCGTACCATGCTGCGAATGGATCTGGCCCTTCGTACATCCAGGACATGGTTAAACCGTACACCCCAGCGCGTGCACTACGCTCTGCATCAGCCAAACGACTCGCTGCACCCTCGCTGCGAGGGGGACCAAAGTTCCCATCAGCAAAAACACGTGGGTTTGCTATCCTGGCTCCAAGATGGTGGAATGAGCTCCCCATTGACATCAGGACGGCAGATAGCTTGCACATCTTCCGGCGCAAACTGAAAACTCATCTCTTTCGACTCCACTTCGAGCGATAGATTTATTAACAAAGCACTTATATACTAATAAAGGACTGGCTTATCTAAAGCCAGTTGAGTAGCACTTGAAATGTTTGGCTCTATGAAACCTGATGTACTTATATGATTCTGTTTTCTTCAAGTTTGTGTCTTCCTGGTCGAATGTACTTATTGTAAGTCGCTTTGGATAAAAGCGTCAGCTAAATGCAATGTAATGTAATATGTAACAGAATAAATCTTTTAAGGGTAATTATGATGATATAATAACATAGCAGAGAGGAACTTAAACCTTGCTATGAGCCAAATGTAAGCCGATGTTTTCCTATTGCGATTAGATTGATGGCTGATCATAAACTAAAACTGACACATTTTCCTTTGTTTCAGGGAAATTCACCGCTTACCATTTACCGTCACAAAATAG